TGGGGCGCCAAGTGTCAAGCACTTGATTCTTCAAGATCTTCACTGTAGTCTTTTTTTCTTCAATATAGTTAATTTAGAGTTAGTTTCATTTCTACAAATGGTGCAAACTCTGCTAGATTATAGATAAAAGATTCCCATTCCCCTGCCATTCTGTGATCGGCAGTGATCGGCAATCGGCAGATCATGATCTTGGTGATCGGTAATCGGTGATCGGCCCCAAAAATGCTGATCGGAGCGTCTCTACTTTAAGGTCATGTTTTCAAAATTGTGTGCTTGCTTTGCTTTTAAAATCTGGTCACTGCATTTTCATATTTCATTCTGTTTTGTTTTATTCTGTTATGTGTATTGTGTTTGATGTTTATGTGTAATGTCTGTTGGATGTTAGTGCAGTGTTAATTAGAAATAAATGCATGCCTTTTATACAACTTCAATCTTAGTTTCATTGAGTGCTTACAATAATCGCTGCCTCCTTGCGAATCCGCTCCTAAGCTCTCAATGCCAAGCTTACCTTAAAATACCGCAAGACTCTCTCTCTCAATGGCCATGAGACCTTTGCTACGCAATCACTACAATACCTGGTGAAGTATGTTCGGTGGGCAATCATTCTAACCCAGGTTACTGAGCGATACTGGTAATTAGTGAATCCCATTTAAGTCTCCCATTAACAGACTCACTGTTTGGAAGAACCAACCATTTGGTATAATAATTAATTAATAATCATCATCAAATAATAAATAATTTAATAATGGAGATCAAATTATTGGAGCTAATATTTCCTACACATATACATTCCAGTTAATTCCCAGGGAAAAAATTCAGAGAATTTTGCAGACTTAGTCACTTTAAGCCAAATGTGTCTGCTAAAATAACTAAATATGCATGAGTAAATGTACACGATAACACAATGTTGGCAACATCTTTGCTCGAGAACTCTCCACAAAAGTCTACGGAAGGAGTTCCACTTCATTCTGCCGTTCAAGAAAGCATTTGTGTGGTCGTGTGTGAATGGCGGCATTATCATCGTGGAATATGGGAACATCATGAGGGATATTGGTTGTATAAAAGTGCACACGTGGTCCTCTAAAATAACCTCACATTACGTGGTCGGTATATACAGTAACCATGCAGAACAATCATCGGACCTAATGGCTCCCGTAAAACACCTGCTCACACCATTACAGATCTCCCACATTGTTCCCCCAAACACAAACCCATCTAGATGCAGTAAAAAGAAGAAAAGATGATGACTTGGCAGACTATTCATCTTAATGCTCTAGCCTTGGATACAAGCTCTGAAGATCTAATCACATGCCTGCTGATGAGTTTCCACCTAAAAACACTGTTCCCCTTTGCTGAGGCAGCTGGTCCATATTTCTCATACGCCATCACGATTGCTGGGGCTGTACCCCTTGACAAATTAAGTAATTTTACAGTTTTATGACCAATGCACCTACAGCACCAACTATTTGACCTTTTATTAAACCCTATTAGTCACCTCATGTTGCTTTGAGAACTCACACATCAAAGTGCCAATTGTCACACCTCTTTTATAGCTCACAAACACTGCTGATTGGCATTCAGCCTAATACAGCTCACCTTTGCAGCTCCATTTATAATTGTGATGCAGTTAAGGCTGCTGATGACTGAGATTTTGTCTAGAGGAAACATACACATCCAGTACATCCCTACCCATCAACCGCACATGTGCAAGACAATTAATTAGTTATTTTTAGTAGGTGGCAGCCCCAACCATTAGATCAGCGGTCAACAACAAGAGAATAGTTGTTGTTGTACTTACGGTGAGTTATGGCTCAGAGGTACCTACATATATGATTTATCCGACAGTATTCGGTATTTTAAAAAGCAACACTATTCTGGCATTTAGAAATTTTGTCAATTTAAATTGCTGAGCAGGTGGTGGGAGCATTGGATCCCGGCTAATTTTGTCGTAAGGATTTCAAAATACCATGGTACAGCTTATTACTGTAATACCTCCCAGCCTTGAATAATAACTTTAAAACCGTTGATAAAAGTTTACCCGTTTCACTACACTGCTTGTATTTGTGTTTGTTGCAATACATCTGCCCTCTCCTGGTCTGGTGTAATATCACACCCCTATGCAGCGCCGACCGCAATCATTCGCACCCACAGCCAAGGGTAGTATGAGTATAAGCTGCCAAGTGGACGACCGTCCCCAGCCCGAAAGCGCATGCGGAAAGTGAAACATGAGCTGGGCTTCACATCAAAGTACTTCAAAGTCCTTTTTCATTTCCCCACTATTTCGACCAACGCTTCCACATAACTTGCTAATATAAAAGATAATAATCCATTCAAAAGCTCTTCAATCTGACTTCGATTCTGTGAAAGGACATTTCTGTTTTACTTAGAGTTGGTGTAAATAAACAAAATTGTTTCAGTAATGATCAATTTTATTACGCTCTAAACTATGAATGCTGATATAAATACCAATATCTGGTAATCAATAATAACAATTATGAGTATGACAATGAAGATATTTAAATGAAGGAGAGAAGGCCAAAGGTGGTTCCTGATGACAGTAGGTAATTTAGACAGTAAGTCCTGTAGAGAACCATCACCATCACCACATGCATGAAGAACATCTTGGGGTTTAAAGTTAAAGTTTTAACTCTTTTTGAACAATGAAGCTGCCAGTTTAGCTGCAAAGTGCCTCTGAGCTGAGACATGACAGAGTCAGTCCACCCAAGACACTAAAATCTTACTTTACATCTTAATTTTTTATAATACATATAGATGAAGTGTTTTAGCTCTTAAATGCTAAATATACCTTTGATAGCTGAACCTTACAACAAAAAATTGTCATTTGTAACTTAATTATAAAGAAAATCCTTAGATATCTAGCAAATAATGAAAAATAAACATTGCTTTGGCATGTATGTATGTAAGTAAGTGAATGGAGTCCAGGATGCCTTTAGAAACTCCACTTGGCCTGTACTACCTTTAATGGCTTGTTTCACTTAAGGTACAGTTTTCCTAGTCTGTGCTTACCTGTGCTGGATTTTATGGTCTCTTTCCCTACGGTCTGGCCCAGCAAGTCATACTGGTTCAGTCTGGAGCCGTCTGGCGCCACCTCGACGGACTTGGAGGCGTTGCGAGTCCAGATGTATGTCACCTCTGTTGTTGTGTAAGCATCTGCCGAGAAAAAGGCCAAGCAGAATCACCGAAGCAGCAATCTGAGAGTCACCCCACGCCTGTCTGTCTACATCTGACCGCTCCATCCAGCGTGCCCCCTCCCCCCCCCCAAAACCCGATCTCCAAACAATCCTAAACAGTTGTAAAGTCTTTGCATTTTCCCCATTTTCTTATAAGCTAAATAAAGTGTAGTACTGAACACAAAACAACCTTATTTTGTCCAGCTTCCCCACATCAGCAGGGCCCTAATTTCTGTCAGTTCAAATGCAGCATAAGACTCGAGTTTCCGTGTTTTGTGTCAATGTTCCCACAGTTTGATAAAAACCTGTTATTTAGCTTTGTGGGGACCAATTTTATGGTTCCTATAAAAATAACCTCAATTTTATATGAATCAGTGACTACAATTGCGATCAATTGCGATTTGCTTGGTTCTTTATGGTTCAGGTTAGGGCTGGGTAGGGGTTAAGGTCGTCACTATTGGATTTTGGTTTTTCCCTTAAAAATGAACAGATGGTCCCCACAAAGATAGGAATACAGACATACAGTATGTGTGTGTGAGTGTGCACCTGTGTGTGACTGTGTGTGAGTGTGTGCGAGCGGGTTTACCTATCCTTATGGTGACATAATGTCCCCATAACGTGATAAATATCCGTTTTTTTTCCTTTATGGGGACCGGTTTCCTGGTCCCCATAAGGGAAAACTATTTTATAAAAATCGGTGACTGCTATGAAAAAACTAAAAATGCAAAAACTTTTTTATTTTGTTTGGTTACTTATGGTTATGGTTAGGGCATGGTAGGGGTTAAGGTTGTCATAGTTAGCGTTAGCATTTTTCCCATTGAAATGAATGAGCGGTCCCCATAAGGATATGTTTACCCTACATGTGCGTGCGTGGGTGTGTGACAGAGTGTGTGCGTGTGTGTGTGTGTGTGTACTCACAGCTGCCGAACTTCAGGGGGCAGGAATGAGAGTCCATGGGGAAATCCTCCAGGTGCATGGGGCACTCAGCCTGAACAGTCAGCCTGGGGGGGGGGGATGCAGTCAGACCCCCTACAAACCAGTGATACTGGATGTAGCTTGTTCAGGACACACACCCACA